GCCCCAAGCAAAGATGGGGGTGTCCAAATGATCAGCCCTCCAATTTGGTGAGGCGAGCCTTTTCCTTGACGTTGGCCTTGATCCACTTGTCAATCTCGGTCTTGGTGGCTTTTCCAGGGCCGGAGTCTTCCAAAACTGGTCGTCGATCACCAATGATGTAAGGCTGCATAGGGTCGGCAGGAGAAGACTTGTTCTTCTTACGCTTGTCAGTATCCGAAGGTGATGCGCGGAAATGGCTGTCCAGAGCGCGGCCCGAACGTGGCAAGGGAGGAGTGACCTTGGTCTTGGACTTTTCCAGGATCTGAAGGGGCGCCCACGGGAGTCCAAAAATGTGCAGAGGCAGCTTAGAGCTTCTCGTTCTCTTTGAGGAGCTGCCCGACCTGGTCCTCAGCTGATGCCGAAGGAACGCCTTATATCAACAAGGCGGTCCAAGCCCTTGCCTTTCTCACCCCAATCGTCCTTCAGGGCGGGAGGATGAAGGTGATCAATGATACGGGCGATGTCCACATCGGTGCTCTTGAAGATCTTGCCAGACAAAGAAGACCAGAGATAAGCTTCCTGTCGATTCCGACGGCCATTGGCCACCAAACGGAGTGTCCAGTTCTCCTGTTTCCTGCTCAAGACGTCGATCAGGCGTACGTCTTCAATGGGTTGGTGATCAATATGTAGATCACGACTCCAGGTGTGGCGATGACTCGACGAAGGAAGGTCAACTTGTACCCCTGGTTGCGGCCCAGGTAGATGTCATCCGAGGTCCAAGATTTGGGAATGGAGTAGCGGGTCTCAAAGGTGCTGGAGGTAGAAGGGGGAGTCTCCACAGGAAGTCCCGTAGACTTTCGATGAGGGGTGCGAGACCTGCGAGAGGTGCGACGATCACGATATCCTCGACGGTGGTGATGGTCCGATGAGCTGCTCGAAGTGCGGCCACAAGGCATGACAACGATGGAGGGCTAGTTGGCAGCTGAAGGTACGATGGTTCAATCTGAAGAATGGCGGCGGTGGAAAGTGGAGAAAATGAATAAGTGCTGTGGCGGTCACGCATGCTTTTTTTGGCGGGGTCAAAAAGAAGTAGTATGGAGCGAGAAGTCAAAATCTACCTTGTCTCAACCAACCCAGGCCGGGGGAGCATCTGTGGAATCCGCAGTAGTTGGAGACTGCGCGGAGCGGAGGCACAGGGCACTCCACTCCACTCCACTCCACTCCTAGGTGCGGAGCGGGAGCGAGTCGCCTGCCATAGATGTCCATGTAGGAGGCCACGTCCATCAGGGGATGCCGGTGTGATGTTTGATAGGACAGGGTGGATCGGGAGGAGGATGTAATCCATGGTGTCGAGGTGGAGATCCGGAGACTGGGGAGGGATGTGGGCCTGGGGGGCGGTGCGCGCGATCGTGAACGGGCGGGGGTGGTGGGTGGTGGTGTAGCCGGTGGCCGGTGTGGGAGGAGATTCTGGTGAGGGAGTCAGAAGGGCGGCATCCATAGCGAGTATGAAGCCGTTGGGGTTGACCCGGTATAGTAGCCATGAGAAGCAGAATCGTCTGGTGATGGTCCGACAAACTGAAGAAGGGAAACACCTCGTTCAATCTTCCGCTGCAGGACATTGAACTCCTGTATGGCTCGACGCATCTGGATGTAGATATTGCGAGCGGAGACGTTTTCAAAATAGTGATCAGGTGGGACTTCTTTGGAGGGGATAGGATGGCAGCAGAGGGATTCCACCACGCAGGCAGACAAACAAACCATCCAATGGAGCCATAATAGTTCAGGTCGCCGATGAGGTTGAGGGCGACGAGATCCAGGATGTGGGCTCACGGGGATGTCAAAAGGATTGAAGACTGCTTGTCTGGTGGGTGGGGGTGTGGAAGCCGCAAGCAGTAGGCGGTGGGCGCTCCATGAGGTATTTGAGGCAAGAAAAGGGCGAAAAGGCGGGGTTGGACAAATGGCTGCGGTGGTGGGTCAGGTACGAGTGCGAAACACATGCGGTGGGTTATTACGGAAAAGGAAAGAGCTACCCAAAGGCCGACCCAAAGCAACAGCAAAGTCCGAGGGTAGGAAGGGTGAAAACAAGTCTGCAGATCCGGCAAAGTGAAAGGGCTTTCTTTTCTTGAGCGGGCGAAGGAAGAATCCAGTGAATCAAACTTCTACGACGGTGGCGGCTGCTCAGGTTCCATGTAGATCGCAGGGCCAGGTCCAAATAAAGCTGGATAGCGAGGCCCCGGTGGTAGCCGCGGCTGAGTCGGTAGAGCATGAGGAGGATAAAGCGCCAAGCGGCCCAGGAGGCGGTTTGTCTTTGGACCTCATCAAACATCCTTGCGGTCGAAGCGTGGAGATCACGCAAAATCTGCTGCAGGTCGTCAGGAAGATGAGTGGGGATATCCGTGGTATAAGGCATCTCATGTAGCCTCCAAGGAGTGTACAATCGAATCCAAAAGAGAACGTCGCGAGATCAAAAGTGCAATGATTCCCAAAGGGGTCTGCTGCGGATGAATCTCCATCGTGGACCAGAAAGAGGCTGCCATCGCGGTTTGGACGACGTCAAATGAGTGCAACACCGTTGTGGACATTTTCACGGGGAAGAGCACGAGGTGGTAGCAGAAAATGTGGATCGCCATAGGGGATCACAACGCTGCTAAAGGGTAGTGTAGATAGACCGCAGAAAGCTGGGCAGTCATCATCGGGAGAACAAGTCATCCCTGTTCAAACCATAGGCTCGAAGCTCATCGATGTTGATGAACATTCCGTAACATTCCGGCATATTGAATTTGGCTTACGGCAGCGCGGCACTTGAATCGGCCATCAACTTTGTTGCGGATCACATCGAAGAAGTGGCTGGCCAGGGCGTCACAGGGTAGGCCACCGGACTTGACCACGAAGTGCTGAAGTCCCCGGTTGTAGCACTCACCAGCCACGAAGAATTGGCGGCCAGACTCACGTCCACCATGCTCTGCAGCCATGTGGCATTGAAGTTCAGCGGGGAGGGTGTCGGTGATAGAGGCATCGACGCGTCCATCACGATGGTGGTCGTGGCCCGGATAGCAACGCCGGCAATAGAAGCCCAAGCAAGCTGGGGTAATGATCGCCGTCCTTCTGATCCTTCCATGAGCTGGGGCGAATGAAGCCATCCGACAATGCCGTGCATGGAGACGGCGGGACAATTGTGAACAAACATGTAGACCGTATTGCGGCCCGTGGGGTCAAAGTCCTCGCCGAGGGAGTAGTCCAGCTTGACAACAACGGCCTCCTCCAGACGCTCGTCCCCGTGGCGTCAAACGCCAGGCTGTCGACAATCTGGAGCATGAGCACGTCGATCTTTTGATCCAGAGTATGATCCAACGCTTCACCGAAATGGACGTCTCTTGGAATCCTGCACTTCGCCATCTGACTCCGGAAAAACAGCATCAACTCATTGATGGCTGGTTCACAATTTGTCCAGCTACCAAGACGAGTCGCACGCTGTCACGGACACCGGCCCACCTCATTCGGCTCCACGTCGGGAACTCTCTCAGGCTGCGGGACCATCTATACCCAAGTTGGCGTTGATCTGCCATTCTCTCCTCCTGTTGCAAGTGTGGAGGTACCTGTCCCCGATTCGGGATCTATGTCCTTGACGCCCTCTTCGACTTCACCGCCATCTACGTTGCTCCCTCCTTACCTTCCCACCAACGAGGATCACACCTGATAGAGTAGTCCTACCTTAGGAGGCCGCACGCGCTTCCCATCGTCTCTAGAAGTTTCCCACTTCTCACCTTGAAGTTCTGCGGCGCCGCGGATCGAAACACAGTTTCAATCCTACTACATTATGTTACCCTGACACTTTCCCTTTCGCGTTTTCCTTGTTTTTGTGCGTTTGCTCATGACGTCATTACTCCGCCAACACTTACCTGTTTGATACTGCTGCCATTTAGCTTGAGTTGCCAACGACTCCATCTCGGGCATCCACCACGCCTACCCCTCCATAAATGATTTCTTCCCCTGGACTTCGTGTTCCTGAACCCTTTGACTCAGCTGATCCCCACAGATTGGCGTGAACTTCGGCAACCTCACGAAACTTTGGATCAAGTCCCCCACCTCCTTACCATCCGCTTCGAACTGGACATCAGTCTCTTGGTCCATCAGCCTTTAAACTACATTTACATCACTGTGACTCTGACCACAGCTCAGATTGAGAACAACGAATACACGGTCGATGACCTCAAGGATGTGATCTTCTCCCGCTTGGGTCAGAAACGTGCCTCTTTCTGGATGGCTCTTCCCTCCACTGGCGACTCCCGGGCTTGGGAGGTTCCACATACTTGTAACCTGGAAGACCGTTCTGTACTACGTGAACTCCCGGCGCCTCCGTCCCATCGGGTACATCCATAAATTCTCACGTGAGGCAACCCCTTTCCCTTACCGTCCTATGCATACGATTGCACCTCGTCTACAATGCTATTGGACAACTCAGAGTCCCACTCACGGCCTACCAGACACCTTCCTTGAGATTCACCGGTTTTCGTAGGGTTATTTTCACCCATCCCACCTTCGTCCGGAGCTTAGGAAAAAGAAGGCCTCCCTTCGGGGAGGCGTGTGTGTGTGTGACCCTTGAAATCACGGGGATCCTTTTGGAATGTTCTGCCTGACCTTTTACTTTTGTTGATTGCAGGGGGACTGCCTGACTTGTAACAGTGGCAGTCCAACGAAGAGGCTGTTACAAGTCACTGATATGGATTCTGGACGCAGAATCCACGTACCTGCTTGGTTATGGCGCTTGCAAGCTGTTACCCTCATTTTCCATAAAGGGCTAGTGCACACTGCAAGAGCGACCGCCGTCATTTCGACCTGTTCGTCGTATCGTGGGGTTGGAACTTTGGCCTTCAACTAAAGGCACTCAGGCCCTCACCTGGTTTTTCAGGATTTGGTTTCTTAGGCTGGCGTGTGGCACCGCTGTCAAGTCAGTACGCATAATTTAAATCATAAGTGTGTGTGTGTGTGTGTCTGTCCAATCTGGAGGAATCAGTCCCGGCCTTCTGGTTGGGCTTAAGGAACATTGCCTGGCTCTAGCCGTCACAGCAAGGATGGGCTTGACAAGCTGCAAAAAGAGATTGAGTCCCCTCTGAAAGCGCTAGCCAAAAAACAATCTCCTGTCGAGTTTCCCTTCCACTTCTTTATTTTGGTTACATCTTCAGATGTGTGCCTAATTGGTTGGCCAACTACAGTAATTTCAGAAGTTGCTGTTGCTTCAACCTGGTGCTTTGTTGACAGACTCTGTTCTGCTGGTTTGTGAGCAATCAAGTTCGTTGCACTAAACCTGCATGGGACATTGGTCTGAGCTTGAAGTCACCTCCCTGGCATGGATCAGAGTCCATGTATAGCCGTCTATTTACAAAAAATAGCTATCACATACACAAGGCATCATTCAACGGCATCATTCAACGGTTCTGATGTTTCCCTGCTTTGAACGCGTGGCTGGACACCTCAGTGAGCACCTCAGCGCGGACCTCTGCCGCTCGCAAAGCCCGTGCCTTCATGCTCAGAGCAGTGGACAAATTGGCTAGGAGCTGGTACTCATTTCAAGAATCAAGTAAAAGCAAAATGGCTAGGAGCTGGTACTCACAGTCCTGCATTCTCTCACCAACTCAATTCAAGATACTCGTGCAAATGTTCCACAATGATAATGTAAAATGGCATGTCGAACAGTGAGTTACTGAAGCAAACCTGTATGCATCAAACTCTGTATATACTTATGTGTATATATATTATGTGTATATATGTGTATATATATATGTATGTGTGTGAGGCTAGTAGACTTCTGAGCTTCGTGTTGAACACTTCTGAGCTTCAGAATGCTGGTGACACGTGTACGTGCAACATGCCTTCGCCAAGGGTTCTTCAGTGGAGAAGCCCACGCCCAATGGGATCGATCGATGTGACCTCGGATCACTGCTTAAAGTGCCCGTTTGACCGATGACCTTTTTTTCAAAAGGAGTAGAGGGGTCATGGCACAAAAGCGAAGCAGAATCATACAGCTTAAGAATGAACAAACTTCAAAGGCCCCAACTGATCCTTCTCCTTGTCGTCTCCTTTCTCACCCTTGTCCCTTTCTCCTTTGTCTCGACTCTTGCTCTGGCTTGCTTTCACCACAGCCAAGTGCCACTGCAGTCTGAGAAGACCACCAAGCTTGCGAGCTTCCTCCAACTGAGCAGCAGCATCAGCAGAGAAGAAATTCATAGCCGAAAAGTCTGCTTCCGAAGACTCAGTCTGCTCATCTTTCTTGGATTCTTCCTCAAACTGCGATACCGAGACAATAACAGATGTGCTGGGGGCACTGAAATCCAAATCCACTGCGACTGCTTTGCTTCCTGTAGCAGTTAGTCGGCTTTCAATTGTGCCTTTTAATTTGTCCAAGTCAGACTCTTCAGAAGACCCATTGGGCCCATGTGTCTGGGAGTCGTGAATTTGGCACCATGCACGCAGATCTGCCTCAGATTTCCCTGCTAAGAGTTGTTCAACTTGAGCAAGGAGGTCTCGCACACACTCTCGCTGTCTATCCTTTTGCTTTTGTGGCTGTCGTGACTCTGCCATCAAAAAACCAAAGGAGGAAGCGGATGCAGCAGGTCCTTTTGTGAGAATCAACAAAGTAACATTTGAATTGCTGATTGCTCTCTGCGGAGGATCAATGCCTTCAAGCCAAAAAGCATTCCAAGCTTTTTGCTGGATATGCTGAAGCAGCTTTGTCCGGGAATCAGGCTCAACCTTTTGTTTCTTTTCAGGTCTGTCGGGGACTTTGGTCGTTCTCTTGCGATCTCTTCGTGGTGAGGCCCTTCTATCTCTCTCTTGTGGCTGGGAAGCCGGCTGGATTGGTGGAGGATGCTGATGGGCCGCTGCCGGTGGAGGATGCTGATGAGGTGGGGGCGGGTAGCCGTAGGGAACTGGTGGATAGCCTGGCGGTGGATGTGGATACGGATAGGCAGGAGGTGGGTAATGTGCGTAATGAGCATAGGGGTCTGGCCTGGAAGGATCATATCCCGGATAGCTTGGATAGGCAGGTGGGTATGCTGGATACTCTGCTTGGGGGGCTGGATGTGCTTGGGGATGAGTTTGGAATGGAGTGGCATGAGGTTGGGGTGCTTGCGGCGCGGTGTGTGCAGCTGGTGCTGGTTGCGCTTGATGCGTTTGATCTGTAGCTGCTGGGTAGCTGGTTGCAGGTGGCGGATAGTAGTACTGCCGGTAGTAGTCATAATGTGCTTGTGCATATGGATCTTGCGATGCAGGAGGTGTTTGTGTGGTTTGGTTTGGCTGACTTGCCGGAGCAGCTTGCGGTTGGGCCGGTGGTGGTTGTGCTGCTTGAGGTTGTGGCGGGTAGCTGTAGTAAGGATCAGTTGCAGCAGGAGTTTCAGGGCGGGGGTCAGCTGGTGGAGGATATGCGTATTGAGAAGTTCGAGGGTCGTAGTTTGGGGGGTATGTTGGAGCAGTTGGTGGATATGCATGGCTTGGGTAAGTTGGTGGCGGATAGGACATGGCACCTGTGTCAACACGAAATTGAAAGCAGGTTGAACTTCTCCAAGTGGGCCTTCAGAAACAAGGACACCGCTCCACAAATGTTTCGACTCTCCAGCCGCAGCGAAATCGTTGTCGCTTCACGCCTATCCACTGAAATCTATCACCCTTGAGCCCATAGTCTCGCCAGCATCCCTTCAAAACGCTACAAGCACCAATCAAGTAACAAGTTTGCGGAACTACAACATGCAATTCAATGCAAGAAACTGCCGTTCGATTCAATTGACGACAAAAAACACCAGCAAATTTTGGAATTGTAGAAACAAACATTGGGTATACAGTATACAACAACTGAACTACAGTAATGGGCCGAATGAACAGTTTTCAGGCCACGAGTTCTGGAAAACAAATTCAAAACAAGGTATCGCACGAATTTGTTGTTCGTCCTGCCCCCCCCCAGCACATAAACAAAAATTGTTCCCAACAACCTTGAAGGACTTTTGGATCCAACGCTGCAAACGTCCAAGTTGTGAAGCTCAGTGTGAGACGAGTCTGTCCAAACATCTGATGCTCAACCTGGTCATTCGAGTTTGACATTAGTTTTCACGGACATCGCACTCCACACAAGAGCCTGGGGGTAAACCCCCTTCAACTCTTTGCCATAGCTGCAGGCTGCCATCCTCGACGTTAAGTAAGGGTAAGATCTCTGAATCGCTGGTAGTTTCTTGTTACTACTAGTAAGGCACTTGTTACTAGAAGCGATGCACTTGTTTCTAGTAGCTTCTTGTTACTACTAGTAAGGCACTTGTTACGACCAGGACTTGATTACCAAACTTGCTTCGTTCTACCGGGCCTGAGACCCGATGAGAAATATCCCATCGTGCCCCGCGCATAGCAAACTGTCGATCTTCTGGCCTCACTTGGGTCTTAAATATCAAAAGAAAGCAGTCAAAGCCAAGGCAACTAAGTCGCCTGGTAAGGCCTGGAATGCAGTCTTGAATTCGAAGGATGGAAGCGTGATTGTGCTCACCTAGCAAACAGAAACGTCAACTCAAATTCACCAAGGTTTCATCACCAAAATTTCACACCTGCCCTCGTGCATGACCACAAAGCACCCGTGGCCCTGATTCCAAGCCAGCCTCAAAAGCAAGAAATGGCATCAAAGCAAAGGAAAGAAGTTGCTGGATCAGGCAAGGTGAAGCCAGGTCAGTGGGGCCGAGTTGTGTCAAATGGAGTGGATTTGGATGAGATGAGAGGCGGAAAGCTGGCAAAGGCAGGAGGTGATGAGGTGACGGAGGTGGCATGAGGTAGAGGATAAAGTAACCAAATGACATCAGGCTACTGTACATACATTCTATATTTATGTGGATCGCATTGTGCCAAAGACCTGGTTGGAGGCCGTTCGGCTGGGTGGCACTGAGATTCTGCGGTGTCCACATGCTGAATCTTGTACTGGAACGGTGCAAATTGCATTTTTTGACATGGTGGACGTGGTGAGCAAAAATATGAAATGATGAAACCTCATGAAAGAGAATCGGATGATGAGAAATCGTCCGTGGAATGATCGCAACTAGGCAGGGTTGAGAGACAAGAAATTACCAAAAATGCCGTGCGACGAGCCAAAGCCAAACGGGTTGCGAAAAAATGAGATATGTAAGACGAGGCTGGAAAATAGATGTCCATGCAGGAAAACAACATTAAATTATGTACATGAAAAGTGCTCAAAAAAATTGCACCTTCTCAGAAAACTAAAACCTTTTAACAATTCGGACCAAGCACTCAGAATCTCTCTAGCTGCATCTGTTCCTCCTCAAACGAAAAACGTTTACATTCTTTCTTGTTCTGAGGCCTGAAGTCTGGAAAGCCGTGCATTCACTACTATAAAATTAACCCGTCTCATTTGTTCTACTCGATTCTGCCGATTCTCTCCCTCCCTCTCTCTCTCTCTATTACTTACTTACTTAACTACTTACTTGTAAGTTGTTTCTTTTTTTCTTGCCTTTTTTCTTTCTGTCATTCTTTCTTTCCTTGTTTATTGCTTCCTTTCTTGCTTTCTTGCTTTCTTTCATTCTTTCGTTCTTTCTTTCTTTCTTTGTTTTCTTGCTGTCTGTATTTATTTCTTGCCTTCGTCCTTGCTTTCTTTCGTTCGTTCGTTCGTTCGTTGGTTCTTTCTTTCTTTCTGTCATTTTGTTATGTATGTGTTTATTACTATCTCTATGTATTCCTTTATGTATTTATGTTTCTCTATATTTATGTCTCTTTCTTTCTTTCTCTATCTGTCTCTTTCTTTATCTTTCTTTATCTGTCTTTATCTTTCTTTCTTTTTAGTTTTTTTTTCATGTTTTATTTATTTATCTATTTCGTGCTTTATCTATTTATTTGTGTCTTTCTTGCTTTCATTGTGGTTTTCTTTAGTTTCTTCGTTCATTGGTTCGTTATTTCTTTATTCATTTCCTTCTTTATCTTTATATATGTTCTTTATTTTTCTGTATGTTTACTTTTCTATTTCTGTCTTTCTTGCTGTATTTCATTCTTTCGTTATTCCGTTCTTGCTTTCTTTCGTTCCTTCGTTCGTTGGTTCGTTCTTTCTTTTCTGTCTTTCATTCATTTCTTTCATTCATTTCTTTCTTAATTTCGTTCATTTCATTTCGTTCATTTCGTTCAATTCGTTCATTTCTTTCATTTCTTTCATGTCTTTCTTTTTTTTGGTTTCTTTCATTTCCTTTATTTCTTTCATGTCTTTCTTTTCTTCAATTGTTTCTTTCTTTCTTTTGTTCTTTCTTTCTTTACTTATTTGTGTCTTTCTGTCTGTCTGTCTGTCTGTCTGTCTGTCTGTCTTGCTTTGCTTTGCTTTGCTTTGCCTTGCCTTGCCTTGCCTTCCTTCGGTTCTGTTCTGTTCTGTTCTGCTCTGCTCTGCTCTGTGCTGTGCTGTCCTGTGCTGTCCTGTCCTGTCCTGTGCTGTGCTGTGCTGTGCTGTTCTGTTCTTTTCTTTTCTTTCTTTCTCTTTCTTTCTTTCTCTTTCTTTATATATTTGTTTATTTATTTCTGTCTCTCTCTCTCTCTCTTTCTTTCTCTCTCTCTCCCTCTCTCTCTCGCTCTTTCTCTCTCTCTCTCTCTCTCTCTCTTTCTTTCGCCCACTCTCTGCCCATGTGATTCTGAAGGTGTTCTCAGGCCATGTCCAGTCTCAGGATTGGCCCAGCGTCCAAGGACTTCTCAGACTTTTGGTTGCCCTCCGCATCGAAAATTTTGATCATTCCCTCTGAATAAGCCTCAAACGTGTGATGCCACAAAATCACACAAAATCATCGAAGCTGAAGAAATCGTCTCAAAAATACCTTGGAGTGCTTGACTCAACTTCATTGCATGATTTGATCAGCAAGTGGTTCCAAGCAAGAAGCCACAATGATGTGGCCCTGGAACTCCAGCAGGTCTGTTACAGCTTTCGTGGGAGGCAAAAGCTTCGTAACCTCCCATCTTGGCGCTCTGGATTTGATTGCTTGGACCATTGAGCACAAGCAATGTTCTCAAAACAGTCGACACAGAGTCAAATTAGCTTGCTTGGCCTTCAGCGTGGCGAGGTCTAACATGGCCAAGCCATAGAGGCCCCCGACCTTACAAACAATACAGTACGTACCAAGTAAACCGCTTGCCGAATGGCAACAATAGTGAAGCAAAGGATGAGCAAAACCAGAAGCGGGAATGCTGCAATTGTCGGGGTTGTTCTTCACCAGTTTCCAAAAAGCCCCTGGACGCCCCTGGAGACCAAGCAGTTATATAATGAGAGTTTGGTTTTTGGACATCCGCATTGCCACATCCGATCAACCCTGAGCCCGCAACAAACAAGTGGTTTCCAAGAACATGAATCTTGCTGATAGGCCCCGGCCTCGGCTAGAAAGCTGTAACGTGAGCAAGGTTTCGATGCTGCACCCTAAGGCAACGGCAAGCTCTCCTTGCAGGCGAGGAGTGCTTTTTGAAGCGCTAGAACAAGCCCCAGAACCCAAACGCGAAACTGTGGACCTGGTTTACGTTTTCTCAATGAGAAATCCCGACATCATAACCGTTTGTTTAATCTGAACTCTCCCATCTGCCAAATGGCAAAAAGTTGGCGATAGGCACAGAAAGGTATGTGGTATCGTGTAACATGTGCGGACAAGGCCTGTCCACATTCGGAGTTTGCAAGGTGCTCATGGAGCGATAGCAAGGTGACATGCGCAAACACACAAACAACAAACATCTACAAGCCTGTGAACGATGTTCTCCGCAACTCCAAAGTAACTCTAATAGTAACAGTATGTAACAGTCGACCGCGCAGAATCTCCATAAGCTTCTTTTCACTGCAACTGAGCAAACATAGTAGTTCAATCTAGTTCTGCCCCCTTCTTTAAAGGTTGGTTCACCGCTCCTGCATCTGCCCCGTGATGTGTCGCACCCACACTTTGCGCATGACATTAGAGCCACATTTTTGAGACACTCTCTGCCTTGCCAATGCCATTTCTCGAGCATGGCAGGCAGATCTGGTGTCACTGGTTTTTTGCTTCTGCATTGTACTTTTTGGTGCTTACACTGTATCATGGGTTTTCAACCTGCACGTTGACTCTGCACATGCAATAAATATTCCAACACCCTGCAGGCATACATGGGCATGCACGAGGCAGTCAAGCATGCACGAACATGCCAAATGCACAACGACGCCTCAAACAAAATGGGGTCGAAAAGGGGACCCTCCGTCATGTACAATCTATCAAGCAAGTGTTTCTTTCCTTTCCCAACAGCTGATGCGCCCAGCAGCCTACGTAACATGTTTTTACCGGATCTTTGTGTATGTGCGCAGCTACCAGCCACTACAATTGGACCTTCGGCGTGTATAGATGTTCGCACGCGCGATACAGCCTCACACAACCCTCGGCTGTGGAACTTCCAAATCAGTTCATTCAACATGGGTCCGAGCTTTAGTAGCTCAAGCACTTGCCAACGGATCTGTGAGCTTCTCTTTCTCTGGGTAGGAAGCCAGCATCTTTTCCTACGTTGGCTGGGTAGAAACTGCGCATTCTCGGCCTCTGCTATGTAGAATGTTGAGGTGTCCTTTCTCCAACCGGGTGAGGAAATTATATAACATGTTCTTTCCCAGTTTGCATTGCTGCCAGCAATGTCATGTCATAGTTTTGCTGCCATGACATGCCTGTG